AAATGTAGATTGTTGTACATGGATAAATATAAGAGATCCCCTGAAAATAAGACCTAGTGCATCTTTTGGAGCAAAAATGAATATAACACCCAGTCTTATTTTCAGGGAAACACGGTATTTGCCTGGAAGATTCAGTCAAATCATATGTGTCTATCACATCCCAAGATTCTGGGTTCTGAAAAATTAAACATTTGTAATAATTATTGCAAAATGGGTTCAACTGAGATAATTATGTTTTAAGATTATCAGGGAAACACGGTATTTGCCTGGAAGATTCGGTCAAATCATATGTGTCTATCACATCTCAAGATTCTGGGTTCTGAAAAATTAAACATTGTAATAATTATTGCAAAATGAGTTCAACTGAGATAATTATGTTTTAAGATAATAATAATGTAATACTCAATCTTTTTTTCTGAAACATGCCTATAGAAATGATCTTAGCATGCAACCCAGGTCCCCTTGAATTTGTTTGGAAAGGGGCTTCCAGCTTTACTTTGATGCTAGTATAGTCTGTTACCTGAAATTCAGTCATTGTCGGGGGCAGCCTCCTTCATACAGAATACTTTCCTGAGATGTCGGGGTGGATTTATTAAAGGCAAATAGATTGTCTACTTGCAAGTGCAGTTGCACTCTTTTATCCCAGAGCTTACTAAATGTGGTAATGTTCTGCTGATTTCCATCATCCAGTCATATGCAAGCAAACATGCTTTTTCTTACATTTTCCATGCACCTGATTGGGTATTCTTTACAAAGCGAAGCTTCGCCACAGTAAAATGAGTGCAACTGCACTAGCAAAGTGCACAGTCTATTTGTCTTTTGTAAATAAACTTCAATGTGTGTTCTATACCATTCACTTCATAAGCTCAAGATTGCCAACAAAAAGTCCTAAACAAATCTAATGTATATGTTTATTGAACAGTAGAGGCGCAACCTTAAAATCTGTGTGCAAACAATATAGTTCATAGTTGCAGTAGTATTAGATGACAATATTGTAGGTAGCCATTAAACCCTAGGTTTCCTGCGTAATGATTTGCACAAAACAGTGCAGTATAATTGCAAGGTTTTTTTGTTATAAAAATACAGAGGATTCAGTCATCACTTCAGTTTGTTCTTGCAGAATTTTGTAATACCCCTGACAGCTCGGTTGCCATGAAAACCTTATATGATAATGGGAAGTTGAAATGACTAGTGTGAAACATGATTTGTACATTTTGTTACAGACTGGTTAGTGTATGTCCTTGGTTTAGATAAAAAGATGCTCAACACAGGATTTAAATTCAAACATTTTATGCTTACAAAAGAGAAAGGGAATTGCACAATGCTTTAGAAAAAATAGGAATAAAGTGTAACAGAATTCAGTAGAGGAAAATAGACTAAAATGCCTTGCACATTAAATTTATTTTCATATAAAAAGATACTTTGTCTTCTAAGTAAAAGAAATGCCAGTAATAATAGATGTTTATGACAAATGAACTGTTTGGGTTCTTCAGATATGCAGTAAATGCCTCTGGCTTTCTGATAATGCAGGCACACGGCTATATGATGACTTCTGAACAGAAATCTTTTAGGGCTCATTCATATGGGTGCACGTCATGAATAGAAGTGTATTTTTCTGTGCCTAGGAGGACATGTGTTTGCATACATCCAAGGAGCAGGACCCTCGAACCCCTCGTGTATTGTATTGTTACTGTATTGTCTCATGTACTGTCTCCCACTATAATGTACAGCGCTGAGCAAACTTTTTGGCGAGATATAAATACTGTATAATAATAATAATAATAATATAGCAACATGTACAAATCAGTGACTGGCTGCAGCTGGTAACCATACATCCAAACATTCACATGTGAACCGTCTGACAGGTGAACATCCTGGATGCAAACCGTCTGCATCCAGGGGCACACATTCATTCCTGGACACATGTAAATGCTCAGATGTGCAGTTATTAATGTACAGTCTCACCATGTCATTGATTTGTACAGATGGCTGTATACAGAGCCAGTGCTAGACTACTTTGTTCCCTAGGCAAGACCAGCTACTTCACCCCCCCCAAAAAAAAATGAAACCTATAGTTCTTCACTCCTCCTAGCACACATCCTCTTTCCCCTCAATTTTTCCACCCTAGCATGAATCTCCTCTCCCCCAAATCCCTCCTCCTAGCATAAATCTCTTCAATTCCACCTCCTAGCACAAATCCCTCTAAATCCCTCTAAATTGCCTGCACAAATTCTTCCTCCCGACTCAAATCCCCCCTTCTAGCACAACCCATCCTAATCCCCCCCTCTAGCACAATCCCCCCCCCTGCTTCCCCCTTTTAACACAAATCCACGCCCAACCCCCCTCTCATTGCACAAATTTCCCCCAATCTCCTCTCCTGCACAAAATCCCTGCTCCTAGAACAACCCCTCCAATTCCCCTCCTAGCACAAATCCCCCAATCCTCCCTCATAGCACAACCACCCCCTTATCCCCTCTCCTAGTACAAATCCCCCCAATCCCTCCTGATAACACAAATCCCCCCAATCCCCTCTCCTAGCACAACCCCCCCCAAGCCCCTCTCCTAGCACAAATTCCTCCCCAGTCCCCCTCCAAACACAAATCCCCCCCAATCCCCCTTCCCAGCACCAACCCATTCCTACGAATCTTCCCCTAGCTAAAACCCCTCCAAATTACCCTTCCCAGCATAAAGTCCTCCCACTTTATCCAAATCCCTCCCCCCCATTTTAGCACAAATCCGCCCCAATGCCCTAACCTCCCAAAACCTCCCTCCTATGCCTAGCACATGCTCCCTTACTCTTTCTCCTAGCACAAATCCCCCGCACCCCCATCATCCTTATTACCTTTCCCAGCACAAATAGTCTCCATCTCCCCTCCTGAACAGACCTCTCATCTCAGCACAAATGATCGTTACCCCCCCCCCCTTCATTATGTAGAGTTTCCCCAGCCTGCAAGCTCTAGACATGTGCAATTCATTTAGGTCTGAATCTATATATTCGGACACATTTTTGGTTATTCAGAGATTCGTATGAATCCAAATTTCCGAATAACAATAGTAAAAACTTTCATTAAACTTTGTTTTGTTTATTTGTTTTCTAAAAAAATTAAAAATTTAAGAACAAAGTTTATCGACCAATCTGAATTCTGTGAGAAAAATAGCTGGTTGTTAAGGAGAGGGCCGGGAAGCCAGACATTGCGTTCTTAACAATCGATGACTCAGCAGCTGTAAGTGATTTCCCCACTGACAGCTGAATGTAAAAAACAGAATTGCTGGCAATGAGAACTTAAGAGGCCCTTATCCGATCATGCAGCCCAGCCGGTCAAAAAAGGAGGGGGACAAGCAAGCGCCCCCTTCTAACCATACCAGGCCACATGCCCTCAACATGGGGAGGTGCTTTTGGTTAGGGGAGCTCCCCCAGATCTTGCCCCCCCCCAATGTGAATGAGTATGGAGTACATAGTACTTGTCAAAAACTGGTGGTGTGTTTTGTTTTTTTCTTACTTTTGTACACTTTTTTAGTGAATGAGTAGTGTACTATAGGGGTACTATGACCAATTAGTTTCGGAATTCATTTCATATCTTTGGCATTCCTTTTGTATATTCAGAATTTCTGGTTGTGAAGGAGTGGGCGGCTGCCGGTGTCCTTAACAACAATGACATCTGCTGTCAGCGGGATTCCCTGCTGACAACAGAATGTAAACAAAACAATGTCGGTTTAAAGGATTGAAAAAACAAAACAGCTTGGGTCCCCCCATCCATACCAGACCAATCACACAGGCCCTGGGAGGAGTGATGAGGAATATTTTGTTACATTACAGACAGCTCTGAGTTTGCCGGGGCTGTTGACATCACATCAAAGATGGAGGCACCCAGCACCAGTCTTAGGTTTTTTTGGATGTCTACACAAGGGAGGCTTTTAAAGGTAAATATTATGTCAAATGCCCATATAGAGTCTGATTTAGTAAATGAAGCACCCCCTCTGACCCCTGAAGGCGTGATGGTGACCCCCAGAAACAATTGCAAGGCATGGTGGGGCATGTGCAGATGCAGCAAAATGGGTGCCAAACACTTTTATAGCTGAACAAAACTGAGCTTATTCAGGGAGAAAGGGGTAAGGGCACAGGACACCTTAAAAGAAAAAAAAGGTAGACAGCAATACTGAAAAGTGTCTTTAAACTGTCCCCAACGTTCTGTACTTTCTGTTTCAATATGTTTGTTACGTTTTATCCGAAGGAGTATAGAAACTGTAAGTATACTGCAATATGAAAAGGTAAATAATAAAGTCAAACAGCGCAGGTGGTACTTGACACATTACAGCAAAATACTAATGACAAAGGTAACGTATTGTATTTTCTTAGTAATAACTGTCTCCAATAGCAATCTCAACTCACAATAAAGTGCAGGACTCAGTTGAATGATTCTGTCCTTGATGCTTTCCCAGACTCTTCCACAGTTCGCTGTTTATGGCAGAATGGCTTCTAATACTCTGTCTCAGGTCCTAATCAGTTTCTGCATGCACACAGATAGGCCCTTAATTGCAGAGCTAGGAAAACAAGTCCATGCCTTAAGCTTCAGGCCTACTCATCACAGTTCCTCACACATCCACCACATACAAGGGTCTGGGCAGCAGGCCCCTGATCACTTGACCTCACTGTATATTTACACTCTCTCCTAGCATATACCAGTGGCCAGGAAACTCCTATTGGTTGGCTGGAAGAAGTATGCATAGTCATAACCCAGAATCACTGCAGCTCATCATACTAATGACAAAGGTACAAGTGACACCTGTTGGCAAAAGGGAGAAACTACTGCTACACTGAACTTAGGGGGACTGTGTTACAATATACCGTATTTTTCGCTCCATAAGACACACTTTTTTCCCCCCAAAAAAGGGGGGAAAATGTCAGTGCGTCTTATGGAGCGAATATGGAGCGGTCGGTCCGGTATTTCCACCACCGCCGTGTCAGAATACCAGGCTGGCCGCTCAGCTTTGCAGCGGGACCTTACCTGTTCCTCGGTCTAGCGCTGCTCAGTCTTCCCGCGCCGGCTTCTTTAGTGTGGGCTCTCAGCTTGACAGCTCGGTGCCCAGTGCGCATGCGCGAGAAGCGCTGTACTTTGTGAATGGTATGGCGTCTTCTGGGACACATGACAGGTCCCAGAAGGCGTCGGACCAATCACAAAGCACAACGCTTCTCGCGCATGCGCACTGGGCACCCAGCTGTCAGCTATCATCCCTGTACTGTTTGCAGTCTCTTAGTCATCTCCTGTACTGTCTGCAGTCTCTGGTCATCCCTGTACTGTCTGCAGTCTCTTGGTCATCTCCTGTACTGTCAGTCTCTGGTCTCCTGTACTGTCTGCAGTCTCTGGTCATCTCCTGTACTATGTCCGCAGTCTCTGGTCATCCCTGTACTGTCCGCAGTCTCTGGTCATCCCCTGTACTGTCCGCAGTCTCTGGTCATCCCCTGTACTGTCCGCAGTCTCTTGTCATCTCCTGTACTGTCCGCAGTCTCTGGTCATCCCTTGTACTGTGTCCGCAGTCTCTGGTCAAACTTCTGTACTGTGTCTGCAGTCTCTGGTCATCTCCTGTACTGTGTCCGCAGTCTCTGGTCATCTCCTGTACTGTGTCCGCAGTCTCTGGTCATCCCTTGTACTATGTCTGTAGTCTCTGGTCATCTCCTGTACTGTGTCCGCAGTCTCTGGTCATCTCCTGTACTGTGTCCGCAGTCTCTGGTCATCTCCTGTACTATGTCTGCAGTCTCTGGTCATCTCCTGTACTGTGTCCGCAGTCTCTGGTCATCTCTTGTACTGTGTCTGTAGTCTCTGGTCATCTCCTGTACTGTGTCTGCAGTCTCTGGTCATCTCTTGTACTATGTCTGTAGTCTCTGGTCATCTCCTGTACTGTGTCTGCAGTCTCTGGTCATCTCCTGTACAATGCCCGCAGTCTCTGGTCATTTCCTGTACTGTATCCGCAGTCTCTCGTCATCTCCTGTACTATGTCTGCAGTCCATTGGTTCAGAATATTTTTTTTCTTGTTTTCCTCCTCTAAAACCTAGGTGCGTCTTATGGTCAGGTGCGTCTTATGGAGCGAAAAATACGGTATAACAAGCAGACTTTCAGGGTTTTTCACTTATTTGGATAATGATGAGGACTGCACTTTACTATTTTATGAAAAAACATAGTAAAGTATATGGGTAAACCCTGGGCATGGAGTAAAGTGTAGCTTCCTTCCCAAGAATACTCATAATGCTTTTTTGCTGTCATTTAGTTAGACTTTCTGTCAGTAAGTGAACATGTGAGCTTTTTTTAATAGAAACACAAGCAAATTACTGTTTTTTTTCTTTTGGACTTCTTTTAGTTGTGTAGCACTACCCCCTCAGGAGTCACTGAAGTTTGGGTCCCCCTATAGTCCTCTACAGTCAGGCAACATGTATTTTCTTCTTCCATGCTTGCACACTAGACAGTAACCAGTCCTTAGGCTTGTTTTGAAGTTTTATTAGGGTAATTAGAACTTGGATGGGGTGAAGGGGTTTATGGGATGTCCAAGGACAATGGTAAGAAAGGACAAACTCCTTAGCAACGATGTACAAGTCTTTACAGCAAAAATTCTTCTGGAGAGCTAGCCAGCATCTCCCACAGCACCGTCCCAGACCCCAGATACATTCTTTCCTCATCCAGCTGTACTGGGTGAATAAAATCTGAAAAGTGAGCGCTAAAACCATATGTAGCTGATGCACCAAAAAGGTAACCAAAAAACAACCTCCAAGCAGGGGCGGACTGACAACTCATGGGGCCCCCGGGCAATAGGGGATCATGGGGCCCCTGTGTCCTTGCCCACACTCAAAGCACACCCAAAAAAGCCTATAAAAAGTACCAGGGGCATTTCATGGGGCCCTCTACTGACCCTGGGCCCTTGGCAGTGCTCGAACGGTCAGTCCGCCCCTGCCACCAAGCAAATATAATACAAATAGGTGCATGGCTAAAATAAGTAGAAACTAAACAATCCAATGCAATATGATCAGATAAAATGAAGATATGTGCAAAATGAATGGTATTCAAACATAAAGTGACAAAGTGCAAATATTGTGCTAAAAGATCATATCCATAATAATGTGCTAATATAGTGATAGTCGTGAGCACATAAAAGTGCTATAATATCAAGTTCAATAGTATATCAATGTCCATAAAGTGTTAATTGTGAAGATCCATCCAAGAGTGATCTCATAATAAGTGCTTCAAATACTTAAACGATATTCGGTGAAATGCCAGGAATATGTTAAGATTACGCACTCACTCTCCACAGAGACTTGCTACCATGTTTGTCCATACACTGACTGGCATGGCATGTCCTCTGTTCAAGCAAATCCACAGAGCCCATTCTGGAGGAAAGCTGAGATGCTGCGGATAACTCAGGGGAAGGGGACTTCTCTGACTAGACCTGGCTGTACACATCCTTAAGGGGACCTCCGGCTGACAACAGTATATACAAATGCGTAATATGATTACGCATCTGGTGAGTGCGTAATCTTAACATATTCCTGGCACTTCACCGAATATCGTTTAGGTATTTGAAGCACTTATTATGAGATCACTCTTGGATGGATCTTCACAATTAGCACTTTATGGATATTGATATACTATTGAACTTGATATTATAGCACTTTTATGTGCTCACGACTATCACTATATTAGCACAATATTATGGATATGATCTTTTAGCACAATATTTACACTTTGTCACTTTATGTTTGAATACCATTCATTTTGCACATATCTTCATTTTATCTGATCATATTGCATTGGATTATTTGGTTTCTACTTATTTTAGCCCTGCACCTATTTATAATATATTTATATGTACTGGGTGCATCCCTGGGGATCCAGTGCCTGCCACTGCAGCGTGAATAGTGCCAGATAAAAAGCTAATCCAGTTTCCCACCAGAGTTCCTCTTTTCCCTAGATGGCCCAGGGGGTGAAGGTCTACTCACTTGGTCCTACTCCTGTTTTGCCGGTGGGTCGGTAGCTGCTACCAGGCCTTCTAGCTGGGCAGCTCCTTCACTTCCACACATGTGGTCATCTCTCAGGGGGCTGGTGAAGTCCCAGCCTTTCCTTCTTCCAAGGTCCCTCTGCCTGGAGGTGAGCCCCTTTCCCATCTGGGCCCCCTTCACAGGTTCCTGCATCTCTTCCTCTCTCACACATCTTCCTCCTGCTGAGCAGGCTCAGTTACTATTAAAGGTTGTCCTGGCCCCTTGCCAAGCCTCCTGTTGGGGCTTGGCCAGGATCCTCTAAGAGTACAGACCAGTCACTCCTCAGATCCACCCACTGCTTCTACACCTTTCACCAAAGTTCTAGAGAAGGGGGAAATTCCAGAGGGCTGGTCTGCAGAGCCCTGCTAGCTCTCACACCCAGACTGCTACTCAGCCCTAACTAACACTTGGAGTCTGGCTCCCCCTAGCTGACTAGGAGGGTGCTACAGTTGTATCATTGACTTTTTAAATTTTTTTATACTGCAAAAAGTTTTTTGGTGTGAATAGGAGCATCATTATTATATTTATTTGTTTCACAGGTCAAAAGGAATATTTTTTTCCTAACTTCAGTGTGTGCCTTGCAGAAAAAATAACAGGAAGTTACAATGGGGCAGGAGGAAATTGCAAGGGAAGATACACAGAAAAGATACACAGAAAAACCAGTGACCACGGGGTAGCAGCATAGCAATGAACAATAGAAAAACATAGAAATTAAACAATACAATGCAATTACATTGCCCATATAACTGATGGAGGCAGCACAGGTCTGTAAAGTATATATCAATTAACCATAAAAAGGTTAGTATCACTGATGCTTATTTAATTGTTGCTTTTATTACATGCAGGAATGAACATGTATTACAAGATTTGCAATTATCAAAAATATTTTGTTAGAGGTCAGATTAGAAAATACCTGGTGGGCACATAACAAGTACAAGTATATGAGACTAAAAATTAACTGTCTGATTTTTGTCTACATAAACATCCAGAGACTAAGTTTCATATTTTTTTTAGAGTGGTTGAAAGACACAAAAACAGAACATTATAATGCAAAATAAATTATTGTTAAATGTTCTGTCACAGCCAAAATTCATGTGGCAGACAGCTGGAGATAACAGATTTTGCCCTTTCTCGCCTCAAAAAAATGAACTGCATGTGGATTTGTGGAAATAGTAAGGGCATGTTTGACAAGATATTTGAAAGTTATAAGATCCTCATGAGGTCTTTTTAATCATTTTCATATCTTCTGCCGTACAAAAGATGGATTGTAAAGTATGCCAGTGTTTCAATTATTTTCTTTTCCCACTTAGGTCATCTGTCCACAGAGAACAGATAATTCAGTTTATGCCACCTGGAATGCTAACCATCTCATCACTTCTTGAAATCTTGACGACACAGTGACAGGATCTCTGCACTTAATTTCTTAGGCCTGTGCACTTGTCATGACTCATACCCAGGGTTTGAAATCTCTATGATGGATTTGTACTTCTTTTTGTATTGCGGGCAATGAAACAGAAGGTGCAGAAGCACCCAAGATGGGAGGAAACACATAAAAATCCAAGGTGAATGGGACCAGAACCAGAAAATATGGTGAGGAGACTCTGCTGTCTAGAGATATCAACATCCACTTAGAATAAAAATATCTCACACTGGTGGACTCCTTTGTATTGTAAATCTGCTGAGCCAGCACTGTTCTGACTCAACTACAGGACCATAAAAATATCTCCAGCTATGTATACAGCTATACGATGTGGTGTTGAATCTATCTCTTGCATCGGGTCAGACAGTTTAGCTCAATGAATAAACTCACATGTTGAGGAAGTCAGATGAGGAAAACCATTCGAATGTTCCGTTTAATGGACAATAATCATAGGTACAAAAACATTAATGTTGTAAGCATAACGGAAATATGCATACAGGTAGACAGGATACAGTGGAATGACTACAGAGAGAGACAGAGGGGAGGGATATACACAAGTACGGTGAGAGAAAGAGCTCAGCTTAGACAGAAGGAGCCATGTTAAAGACACAGAGCAATGATAAACAAGTGATGGTCACAGAGCAATAATAATATATCAAATAGTGTAACACAACACTCCCCTTCTGAAATATTTAGATTTCATAACTTCAAAATATATATATTCAATAAGTCCAATTCTGATGAATGTCTTGGAACCTGTAACAAGAAACATGCAACAAGCAAACATAAACATAAGTTCAACTGGGTGGCAGAACAAGTAGTAATCCAACATGGGACATCTTCCCAAAGAATACCAAAGTTCCAAGTAAAAAACCCATGGTTAGCAGCAATGTACTTTCCGCCATGCCAATAGCATGGCAGAGTGGCTGCATAAGTCAGTCACCTGGCAAAAGGAGTACTAACTCTGTAATTAGTCGAGCAAAAGTTTATGTTGATCCTCCTTGGTTACCTTGACCTCTACCTTCCGGTCCTTGTCATCATCACTGGGCATAACCTTAGTAATAAGACCCATAGGCCATTCATTCCAACAAACTTCCTTGTCCTTTAGGAGAATGAGATCTCCAACCTTGAGATTAGGCTT